ACCCAGAGATACAATTTTCCCTGTGTTGGTGGGGGGGGGGGGGGCGTACTCATTTGTTGCTTGCCGTAGTCATTTGACCATTGACCACGCGTCCCTTTCGAGACGGAGCACCGTTCCTACACCTACTAGAGACACCACCAACATTTGGGAGCTCTTTACGTTTCTGCCACAAACTCCATAAAAATTTCTTGCACATCTTATCCCCGTCCTCTAGGGCCTCTTGTGCCCACCATCTATCCCCAATTATCGCGATCGTTTTTTCGCTGTTGTCTAATTTACCAAACTTGTCCATGTCACACCCTCTCTGTCTCATTTCCTCCTCGAGATCCTCTCTTTCCTTCCTGTACAACTCACACTCCCCAACTATGTGGGGTCTACTCTCCTCCGATTTGCCACATGGACATGTGTGTCTATCCTCCTCTTCCTCTCTCCTACGGCTGGTATACCTCTTCCTCCGTTCTGGCAAGTCCAGATCGCCTACTCGAAATTGCAATTTCAGCTTTTTCGCATAGTCCATGGGGCCGTCCAAGTACTTCTTCATCCCTATCCCTTCTTTCAACTTCCCGTATATCTCCAAGTGGTCTTCGCTTCGTACCTTCTTCCGAAGGGTTGCCTTCTCCCTACTCTCTAGCATCTCCTTGACTTTCGTCTTGAACCCCCCGAACCCTTCCGTGTCCAACGTCTCCTCTTCGTCTCCTATCTCCTTCCAAACCTTCTCTACCACCTTGTCCCATCTGATTCCCTTCTTCCCTGGAGTCGCTTTTCCCCAAGCTGCCTCGTCAACCATGGCTGGTAGTCTATCGTCCGACATTCTACTTACCTTGTACTGCCAATTCAACTTCTGCATGTCTCTCTTTGTTTTAAGAGAGTACATTCCCAATTCTGCTCTCAATACAGTGTTGCTCGTTGTACTTGAACATCCTAGTATGTTCTTGGCGCGCTGCCATCTGCACCGTTTCCAGCTGCTTGACGGCCTTTTCGTTACCTTCCCATATCTCTCCTGCATACTCTAGCTTAGGTACAATCACATTCAAGAGAATACACCTCTTAATCCTAGTGTCTAGGTGTGGGTCCGTAAGGATCTCGTCCATCTTGCCTATCTGAGCTTTACTCTTCCCAATCAACTTCGCTATGTGTGCGTCCCATGAGCACTCCTTCGAAATCTCTACTCCCAGGTACGTATACTTGTCTACTACCGGTAGTTCTTCCTTCCCCCCATTTCCATTTGAATTCTACGGGATTTTTCTTATCTTCGTTACAGACCACTACTGCGCATTTTCCTACGTTCGCCGACAGTCTCCATTTTCGGGTGTATCCTACCGCCGCATCTATTTGTTCTTGCAACCCTTCTGGTGTTTCGGATACCCCCACGAAATCATCTGCAAACATCAGTCCGGACACACTCTTTCCCTCTACTTGGACTCCCTGTCTTACTGCTTCAACCGCCCTTATCAAATCGTTGATGTAAATCTTAAAGAGAGTGGGTGACATCGTACAGCCCTGTGCGACTCCTTGGAGTATATCCACGTACTTCGAAATTTCCCCATCCAACATCACCGCACTTCTTGTGCATTCTGTCATCTTTTTCAACATCCTCCACATTTTCCCCCGGATGCCGATGTCCCACATCTTTTTCCACAATCCATTGCGCCATACGGTGTCGTAGGCTTTTTGTATATCGAGGAAGAAACAGTATGTCGTACGCCCGGCGTCTTTCCTACCTTGGATGATTTTACTCAACGTATATACATGGTCTACACAACTACGATCTGGTCTAAATCCAGCTTGTCCTTCGCTGATCTTTTGTTTCCCCTCCAACATGTCTCCCATTCTATTGTCTATCATCTTGCCAAACAGTTTCCCCACTGTGCTCAACAGGGTTATCCCTCTATAATTCCCCGGGTCAGCTTTATCCCCCTTTTTGAACAGGTTCACGACTACTCCTTCTCTCCATCTCTTCGGCGCGTACTCGTGTTTCCATATCCAGTTGAATATCCGGACCAACATGTTAATCATCCCCTCCCCCCCCTGTTTCAAAAGCTCGTTCACAATTCCATC